GAATGTTCCATAGCTGAATACTCAGATCTTTACCTCCATTTGCATTGTGTCCTTGGGGCATTGCATTTGGTTCTCATGTCTTTTGACTCCATTACATATTGCCCATAAATTATTTATACAATATGAAACTATTCTTTGAACACCAGAGTCACAAAAATGTCCTCTCAGGGCCAAAATCTGGGCACTGGTTCAAGCCCTAGATACTTTACTCCTGATCCAGATCCTTGCTAATGTGCTGGAAAACTATATTCACACAGAAGAACCATTTTGAGATCTAAGCTTCTAGATTTGCCTGACCTGACCCGAGCTTTTGCAGTCATTTGGGAAGTGAACCAGTAGATGGAAGTTTCCTTCTCAAATAAATTATATCATTAAAAAGCAAGTAATAAAATTGTTCTCTCAACATTTGCCCTGGAATATCTAATAATCATCTTAAAACTGAACTCTGCATTTCCTCCCTAGATTTACTCCTACTCTAATCTTCTTTCTTAATTTTCAGTGAATGGTTTTCCTTTCTTAATGCATAAAGACATTGAAGTAATTCTAGACACACAGACAAGCCATTCTCTTTCTCATACCTATGTGTCACCTAATCGGATTTATTCCAGATTCAAAATGCTTATGAAACCCAATTAGTTCTCATCACCTCTACTTTCCCCATTCTGTATGGCTTCTAATATCATCATATTCTCCCAACTTGTGCCCCTGCTACATTCTTGACAACCTATGATCCATTTTCCAAATAGTAACCAAAGTAATTACATTAAAGTGTAGATATAGTCAAGTCACTCTCCTCAAAATTCTTCTGTGGCTTTCAGGCCATTGGGAGAATCTTAAATCCTTATTTATTTAGTCACTGAGTGTATCTCTAAGTTCTTTTCCTAAGTCATGTCCCATCTCCTTTCCCTCATCTTCTGTTACACTCATTAATTACCTTACAGTTGACCTGGTCTCTTTGACACTGCTCAATCAGCCTAAGGAAGCTATTGCTCCAATTCCACTGCACTTACCAGTCCTTTGCCTAAACCTTACTTCCACTGGATACCAACATTGTGCAATGCTAACTTCATTCAGGCCTGTTCAAATGTCCCCAAATCAAAGATGGTTCACTGAATATTATGTCCTTACCCCAACTCGATATAACTCCAATCTATCTCTAAATGGTTCATTTTTATTCACATTTGATCACCAGGTCAAGTGTCACTTTCTCTAAGAAGTACACACTAAGCCAGAAATCTACATCAATTTATTTGCTGGTTTCTCCCACAATACCATATACATTTCTCATCATTTATCCAAGTTGGCAGTTATTCATACATTGGCATGGTTATTTTCCCTTTATACTAGATCCTAATATCCATTAGATAAACAAATGTCCAGCACCTACCTAATTTAGTTCCTTTGCAAATAGTAGATGATTAACAAATTTGGGGAACTAAAATATGGAAGACTAAAAACCAGTAAATAAATGAACGATTGAACATCACTATATCCCTAGTCCAACAAGTACAAAGGAATAAACCCTGAGAAATGTGGGAGCCTAATAAATATGTGGTAGTCTTTTAAAATTAGGAAGAAAAGCAGTATTTAAAGATGCATGCAAGGAAAAGATGAAGCATAACCTTTTGCTAGACTACATTTTCCCCCCAACACCCATGTCTGGCATGCCTGCTTTGTCTGATGTTCAAAAAAACCAAGAAAAAAGTAAAATAACCTATGGAGAGGTCCAGCCATTGCCTTGAGCTCCAAGAAAGCACTTTCTAGGTACTTGGAATTTCCTGCATGATAACAATATTTTCTTTACTTGGTAGCCTTGGGCTACAGGATATCAGCTTTATCTCCAGAATAGTGAGAGGCTAAGAGTAACCATGTAGGCAGTCAGCTCTGTGATATGACCTGCCCCCAGATAAAACCCTGGACACTGAGGCACAGATGAGCTTCCCTGGTTGGCAGCATACCATGTGAATGGCCACATATGATTTCTGGGAAAATTAGTTTGCCTTCTACCACTCCACTGGGAGAGGAATGTGATAGACCACAAATGTGAGTACAACAACTTTCAGTAAGTTCTATGAGTGTTGTGGTATATTATTGAACCTGAGTGTAATCCTGGATATTCCTAAACTTGTAGTTGATGCTAGAAGTGAGGGTAGTCTTGTGCATCCTGAAGTCTACATAAATGCACCTAACCCAAGTGGTACTAGAGAAGCATGAAGTAGATAAATGAATAGTAGATGAAGTAGATAAATAGTAGATAAAGTAGATAAATGAATGATAAATTTTGCTTTTCTTTATGTTTCTTGCATGTTAATCATGAGCCTTAGAATCTATGTCTTAAAATACATTCATATTAGGGCCTCTCTCATATGCTCAAAAATCATAAATAAAAATTATAAAAAGTTTACCTCCCTCAAAAATGACGATATTTAAATGTAAAATGCAAAAAGCACAATTCTTTGCATGAGATGAGAAGTTAGTCAGTGTTCATTATAGTTTTATTATGATGGTTTTCCTCCTTTCTCCTTATCCAAAGAGTTGGAATTACTCAAGTTTCTCTCCATGACCTTTGTGGCCAAGACTTTTAAACATTTGTCAAAATATTTTTTCTTCTTCTGAGACACAGTTAGATTCTATTTCCCAGGTTCCCTTATAATCAACTGTTATATTGTTAGACAAAATTCTAATCAAGGAATATTAGCAGAGTTCCAGCTTTGAGGCATTAAATAGTTATACCTGATTTCTTCAGTACTGGCTGACTGGAGAAGAGCCTCTGGGATGATTTTGGGAGGCTACTGGAAAGGCATTACTACAGAAGACTGAATGTTTTTATATGGCCCCAACACACCACCTAACCCCCTAGAATATTCTTGGTCCATTTTATATGGGTGAGAAACAAACTTCCTACATTGAGCTATCACACATTTGAATCTTATTTAGTATAACCTGGTTTATCCCAGAGAATGCAGGTCTCTGTCCTTATTTTTTTGGTTTTTCTTCATTGTATCAACTGCAAAATTATTACCCTTTGGACAATGTGCCTAATCTATAAGGCATGGGTTCTTCTCAGAACTCTTAAACCTCCTTATTTGATTTATAGTGGTATAAATTTAATTCTTCAACAAACAGCTATAACTCTCCTTCTGCCTTGCTTAAACTACTGAGAGAATTCCTCAATTTATAAAATAGAGCTCAAATTCACTAGCAACTGGGCATTCTTGTAGGCATTTAAGTTTATGTTTAATTTCTCTTAATAAACTTCATATATTTTGTTCTGTATTTTCCATTTATAACATTATGCTCAATTCCACTCTTCTTATCTGGGAACACTTTTATGCTGCCTCTGTACACATCTACCTTGAAATTCCAAACCAAATAGCATATAAAATAACTCTTTCACTGCTTAATGAAAATAACATTTCATCTGTCCTTGGTAGTACTAAGAAGTACATATACTTATATACATTTATATAAAAAGATTTATTTACATTATAGCAGATTATAGTAGAGATTCACTCAGCAAGATATATATATAGATATATAGATATAGTACAGATATAGATATAGATATGACTCCTTCCTATAGTTCTCTGAGAGTCCTTGTAAGCGTCATATATGAAAAGGTAAAGGTATCTGGAGTGTTACAGATTGAACAGCACTTATGAAAGAGTGTACTCACACTAGAAGCAAATGATATACGCAAAATGAGAACACTGCCTTATAAAAATGTTTTGAAACAATAAGAATTATAAGTATGTATCTTATATAAATGTCCTTACAAAATCAAAAAAGAAAAAAAAAAAAACGTGGATTTCCTCTCCCTGACAAAACTGTCTTGGATGATTTAGAGTTGCAATGTTGAGTGCACTTATTGCTACCCAGTGCCTAAAATGCAGCTAGCATTAACCAAGAAGTTCTGTCAATGTGAGGCTCACAACAGACTGGAAATAATAATTTAAAATTCCTCGCCAATAATTTTTATAATAAGTTGAAATACATTTTTATATTTTATTTGGCTGAAGAAAATGGCATTAGAGTAACTTTACCTCCTTATTTTTACTTTTTTGATATGACTACTAGAAAATTTATAATTACACCTCACATCTGTTTCTACTGGAAGCACCTGCCTGGTAGTAGAAGAACATAGATATCTGACCCAGACCTTTGAAATTATAGGACATTATTTCTTCCAGCATCCGGAGTAATTTAACTTGAAATCCTTTCTATTTTGGAAAATAAAGGAATAGTGAGGGCCATGGAATCATGGTAGACCTGCCCATATTACTAGCATAGCTGGCTCAGGCCAACACTGTCACTGATTTACCATTCTTCTTTCTTGATAAGCCTAACTTAATTTTTTAAATAGGATGGGGGTGAAGAAATATATGGGCAGAACTTTTGGAAGTGACACTCAAATCTGATTAAGAGGGAGGACCTAAAGCTTGAAAAGAAGGCATAGATCTATCTCCTAGGACTTACATATGTGTACATGCACACACACACACACACACACACACACACACACACCTGCTCCTCCTAGCTTTTCATTCATGGTTTCTCAAGATAAAATGATCTCCCTTTCTTTATACATTTTTTATATTTAAGGTAACCAAATTCCATGTATTTCATATATACAGATTTAGGAATTAGCGATGTTTCTCACTGTGTTTCTCAAGTTTTTAAGACAATGCATTATGAGTAGCACTATGAGCAGGTGTACTCACTGAGGCGGGTCGGCTAGCGCCAGGCAGGATCCCCAGGGAGAAGGACGTGGACCCAGGGCGAGGCCACGGGCAGCTAGAGCTCAGAGGTGCGCGCCCAGGTGCGGCCACTTCAGCCCTGAACCCAGGCCTGACCCTCCTGTTCCTATCCAAGACAACCCGACGTCAGGGGTCCTGCTGTGGGGGATGCTGATTGTCTCTGTCCTCTGTGACGTTGCGTGCTTGCCAGGCTGGCAAACTGCCCAATCAGGCACGGTGCCGTCCACGCTGCGTCAGCACTCGGGGCCTTGACGTCACAGTCGTCTTAGCGTTCCGCCAAGTGAGGTCCGGGGAGGCAGCTCAGCTGCCGTGAGTCTGCCAAGTGAAGTCGGGCTCTGCTTCTCTCCACCTTCGCTCCCTGGGGACGCTGGGTAACTAGAGAGCCGGACACCGCGACACGGTGAGTGTGTGGGCCTGGGGGTCCCGAGAGGGGAACACGGAGCCGCAGGGCGGGAGGTCGTGGGTCCAGCACCGTGGACTCCATATTGGCTCTGGCTCAGGGCTTCCCTTGGTCCCCCAGGCCCCTGGGTTGAGGGCTTTGCCGGCACCCAGACCCCCGAGGTCTTGCCGCTTCTCTGCCCTCAGAGACTTCTTGGCCCCGGAGCCATAGCAGGCAGCTGTGTGGCAGCAGCTCCGCGTCTCCCCGATTGTGCAGCGGGGACGGGGTGTTCACTAGGGAGAACGCGGGCGCTGTGTGTGCGGTTCATGCATAGGCGCTGTGGGTTCCTCCTCCCTTCCCCGCGGGACAGGCGCTGTGGATTCCTCTTCCCTTCCCTGCGGGCACTTGGTTCCCCCAGATTTCTAAATATGTGGGCCACAGGGTCTCTTCCAGGGCACTGACTTCTTCACGTAGCTGTTTCTGGGACGTCTCTGTTTTCTGTTTGCAGTAACACAGTAACATAGATTGAGTAAGGTAGAAACCGAAGTTTTATTTGGCTCAGAGTTTTTACCCAGGTTTTAGAGGGGCAGGAGGCCCCTGTAATTCGGTACTTGGGTGTCATCTTGGCGCTTACACTTCCTCCTAACAGATGCCATCTATATTTGCACTTTCAAAATAGAAATTTTGGCTACTCAAATTTGTGTGTATTTAAAAATGATTTCTGTTCCATGAAAGCCTTCCTAATCCTGAATATATGTCTAGTTTACCAAGTTATTTTGAATTTTTTATTTTAATATCGGAGGTTTTTTGCTTGTTTTGTTTTTTCAAGATTGTCAGAGTATGATTGACACAATTTGTGCGTATTCAAGGTATGTTTTGCTATATGAGGGGATCTTAAAAATTATGGACAATTCACATTATCGTTTGATTACATTTTTCATAAGCTTTCTGGAATCCTTTTGTGCATATATTATGAAATGATTAGGACAATCTAACATATCGATCACCTTACCCCCCTATGTTATTAAAGCATATGTAAGATATTAGCAAGTTGTGAGTCTGTGATATAATCATCTAGTTACTGTGTTGAATATTAAGGTCTTGAGGTGTTAATTTATCTCATAGCTTCAAATGTGTGTTCTGCTAACATTTTCCCATGTCCTCACTTTCAGCCCATGATAACCACCATTCTGTTTTGTGATTAAGTGTGACTTTCTTAGATGACACATATGAGTGACATTGTGTGGCATTTATTTTTCTGTGCATTATTTCAAGTAGCCTAATGTCCACATTCATATTTTTGGATCCTTATTCTGACAAAATGGAAGAATTTCCTTTTTAAGGTTAACTGTGATTCCTCTGTGTGTGTGTGTGTGTGTGTGTGTGTGTGTGTGTATCACATTTTCTTTACTCATCTGTTGACAATGGGGTTGTTTCCATATATTTTCTTGTAAATAATGCTGCCATTAATGTGGAGATATGTGTCTCTTTGAGATACTGATTTGATTTCCTTTGTATACATAGGCAATAGTGGGATTGCTTTGTCATATGTTCTATGTTTAATTTTGATTGAAGACCTACACAGTGTTTTCTATATTGGATGTACCAATTTACTTTCTATCCAACAATTTTTATATTCCTTTTTTTCCTCCCTGGTCCAATGTTATCTTTTTACTTTTGGATAATAATCATTTTAACATATATGAGATGGTAACCATTGTGGTCTTGATTAGCATTGCAGTCTTCGTTAGCAGTTTTTGAGCCCCCTCTCAGTTACCTGTTGGCTACTTTTGTATATTCAATTGAAAACTGATCAATCCTTTGTGTGATTTTTATTACAATATTTGCTTTTGAATTGTCTATGTTCAAACTCAGGCTTTCCAATACTTTCTTCCATACCTTGCTTTATCTGTTCTGTTTTTTCTAGGGCATGAAGAATATTTCTTAGATTTCTTGCAGCCTTTGCTTTTTCACTTGTGCTTTTAGTGTCATATCTAAACAATCATTGTGAGACTAATATCAATGAATCTTCTTCCATTTGTAAGGGGTTTATATTCTCAGACCTTTCTTTTTTTTTTTATTTTTTGACAGGCAGAGTGGACAGTGAGAGAGAGACAGAGAGAGAAAGGTCTTCCTTTGCCATTGGTTCACTCTCCAATGGCCGCCGCTGCAGCCGGGCCGCGCACGATCCTATGGCAGGAGCCAGGTACCTATCCTGGTCTCCCATGGGGTGCAGGGCCCAAGCACCTGGGCCATCCTCCACTGCACTCCCTGGCCATAGCAGAGAGCTGGCCTGGAAGAGGGGCAACCGGGATAGAATCCGGCGCCCCAACCGGGACTAGAACCCGGTGTGCCGCGCCGCAAGGTGGAGGATTAGCCTATTGAGCCACGGCGCCGGCCAATATTCTCAGACCTTTCATGTAAACCTTCAATTCATTTTGAGTTGACTTTCATGCCTGGCATAATATAAAGATATTATATTTCAGTTTTTGGCATGTAGATGTCCAATTTGCCTCTCCTTCAGATGTGGTCAATAGTGTATAGCCACTTGGTAACTGTGGTGTTACTTGCTGGTCCCAGCATCCCTAAAGATGTGCCTCTAACTGGGCAGGATCCAGGCAGAAACTGTCACAGTCCAGTTTTAATTATTAATTATTTAATTATTAATTGGTACACATAGTGAGGTGGAAGGTATAGTACTAATCCTGTCCCTTCATGCGGTAGAGACAGTGATAATATGTGAGACAAGAAGACCATTGGTGGCTAGGCTTATGTCACTTTCAGGTAGCCTGGGTTCAGTAGTAGTGTTTATTTGCATAGTTCATTTTTCCCAAAGTCATATTCTGGAGAATACTAAATGCACCAAAATAATATGTAATATTCATTAAAAAAGGCTCAGAATCATCAGTTTACAAAGTCCTGAACACCTTTAATACATAGTGAAGCTTGTAAAGCTCAGATAAGGGCCAGCATGTGGAACCTATTATTTCCCCTGCAGGACACCTATCACAGTCTTTGAGATCTCAGTATTGACTAGAGCACTATTTGATAAATGCTTATACAAAGCCTTATGGTTTTCTGAGGACTTACACATCTCTAATCCATGACAACTGTGTGAGATATTCATGGCTGGCAGTTCACAATGACTAAAAGGTAAAGGAAAGGAAAGCTACAGAGGGCAGAGGGTTAACTGTTGTCCAAAGTTGGCTAACTTTCTTATGCCTCTGTGCAGTCTTTTTCACCATCATCATAAACTTGTATTAATCCAAAATCTGTTCATTTCGTCCTTAGAGGTTTAGCTCTGAGAGTGATCATTTTTTCTGCAGTGACAATTTTATATTTAGGATATGTTTGTATGTGGATTTTTGTTTGTGTAAAGTAGTAGGTATCATATGTTTAAATAACTTAATAAAAACAATTGGTATCAGATCGAGCATAGGATTTGCATGTCCACTGGGTAGTGACCATGAGAACAGAAATACTTTCCCTTCCCCCAGTGTTTCCTGAGTCAGGGACCCAGGACTTTATATTTTAACTAAGATTTTATTGCTCAGAAGCAGTTAGTTTTGGTTGAAACAGTGTGCAAAGTTGAATGTTTCTGCCTGTTAGAAATATTCTGTTTTTGTCATTGTTCCCTGCTTCACTGACCAGACAAATAAATATTTCAGAATGTGATGCCATAACAACACAAGGAAATGAGCAATCCTGTGTTGATGTCTGCATTTAAGGAAAGAGTGGATGATGATGTGTGTGAGCTATGCGAACAATGGACTGACTGAATCCAGGCTGTGAGAGTTCTAGGCTTTGAGTTGTATGACATTGGCCACCATTGCAATGTCTTTAAGCCTGAAGTCCACATATATAAAATGTAGATGAAAACAGACTCTTATGGTTGTTGTGAAAATTAAGTGTGACAATGCATATTCAACCACTTAAAACCTTACTTAGGGGTGGGCAGGGAAGTATGAGCGGCAAATCCCATTAGGATGGGGGTGAAGCTGACACCAGTGGTTGGGCCATAGGGTCATCTGGCTTCCAGCCATGGCAGTGGGAGCTGGAGGCTAGGGTGGTGTTCTTTGAATATTTCTTCATTATTGTTATGAATGTTTATGTAAATATTTCTGTGCTTCAAATACTACTCTCTTTTATCATGTTATCATATTACAGTTTGCCTCAGACTTTTTAACTTTAAATCCTAAAAATTTTAGCTACAAGATATCAAGAAGGGTGACTGTTTATGCAAGGAATGTGCATTCTTTTAGGGAGATTGTGCATTTTTGGTTCTAAGTATTTTGTATTATTTGACATGGAAGTAGGACAGTTATTTATCTTGGATATACATTTGTTTTAAGGAGATGTTTTGGATTCAGGATTGATAAGGATCCTATTGTAAATATTAACTCAGTCAAATGAGTGGGCTGTTGTGCTGTTTGGCCAAACACTGTTATTGATGTTGCTGGGTAGACGTATTGTAGATGTGATTAACATCTACCATCATCTAAATAAAGAAGATTATATATATATATATATATATATATATATATATATATATATATGTGTGTATATATGCAAATTCCTCTATTAAGAACCCAGACTGATACAGTAAGCAAATACAGACAAGAAAATATAAAGTCAAATTAGTAATATGCGTATGTACTTGCATTCTGAGAAATGGAATGTGAGTATAATTAGAAAGCTTATGGGGGAGGCTGGTGCTGTGGCACAGCAGGTTAATGCCCTGGCCTGAAGCATCAGCATCCTATATGGGCACTGGTTCAAGAACCAGCTGCTCCACTTCTGATTCAGCTCTCTGCTATGGCCTGGGAAAGCAGTAGAAGATGGCCCAAGTCCTTGGGCCCCTGCACCTGTGTAGAAGACCTGGAATAAGCTCCTGGCTCCTGGTTTTAGACGGGAATGAATCCAGAAGTTGCAGTCAATTGGGGAGTGAACTAGTGGATGGAAGACCTCTCTCTCTCTCTTTCCTCTGTGTAAATCCGACTTTGATGTAAATAAATAAATCT